GAAGTAGAGTATTCTTAAGTTGCAAACAAATGCTAATTGCCCTCTCTGTGTAATCCAAACATTGGACATAATTGCTCATCACTGTAAAGTCTCTGCAGGAAAACCAGAAGCTTTCCAGGTCTGGAAGGTTTAAGTGAGGCCAAATGGTTTTTAGTGACCCTGTGATCTTGAGAGAAACCAGAAGTTACCAGATGTCATGTGTGGGGTTGAAATACTTGACAATACTTTATACACCTGTCTTTAGGACTGATCTGTTTTCTTCCTGTGTGATGAGAGCTGATGAACTACTGCAGTCTTGTCTGTCATCAAAGAATAACTGTATACACAGCTCCACTGTGATCAGCAGACCAAACCCCTTTATTTTCAGATCCATGCATTGGCTCCTAATCATGTTCACCTGAAACTTTCTCATGTGCATAAAGTGTTTATCATAGTATTTTTAACAGACAGGAAGGAAGAAAGTAATAGGCTCCGTTTAAATAATATACCTTCCTTGCTTTGGCCAGCTCTCATTTCAGTATTAAAAACGTATCTCTTCAGCTCTGATATCACTGGTAACTTACCCGTTTTCTTCCTCTTCCTGTTTTGAATTCAGGGTTAAATATGTAGCCATTTTTTTGATGGAATAAGTTGATGTGAATGCAGTCTGTGCAACCTGGTGTCTCTGCCTTTTCAGTTCAGCTCAGTCTACATTGGTTTACAATAATTGAGTTTGAAAGAGAGACACAGAAGTCCCCTTGTGATCAACTTAGCATTTAGGAGAGGAAGTTGTGTCCCTGAAAGCTAGAGTTCATCTAAGGTGTAGCAAAGTGTCTTGTACTGCAGATGAGTTCACGTCATTGCTAACCTTGATGAGTAGGACTCACATCCTTGAACCAGTTCATTTTTCTTCAGTGCAGAAGAATGTCCGCATAGTACAAATATTGCTGCAATGTCTTGGCTCATCACTACAGCTGCACATCACTAAGGGCTACTGGTGTGCTTCGGTTGATTTTGTGCTGTGCTTTGGTTGTTTTGCTAGTTTCCACTTATATTCTGTGACCCCTGAAAAGCATGCTGTAATCTTCAAACTATCATCAGGCCAGGATTCAACTTCGTGACAGATGTCTTCTCTTTCTGGGACCAACCAAGACATCTGCTCTGCAGAGCATGTAACCTACACAGACAAGGATCAGCGAAGTGAGAAACTTGAGCATAGTTTTGTAGGTCAAAAAGTTTCACTGGTGAATCTAGTTATTGGAATGCAGTGGGCAATCTACATTTTGACTTTCCTGTACAGCTCACTGCAAAAGCCACTTCCTATTGATAAGCCCCTTTTCCAGTGTAATGAAAGTGTTTTAAGGATGTGGTGTGGGTGTGAATTAATTTCTGAAGTTCCTTATGAGCAGGAAAAAGAAAAAATAATAGAAGATTCACTTGGTAAGTGCACTAAAAAAGATCTAATCTGCCTGGGGAGCATGTTGTTGTTCTTGCTATGGGATAGCTGCAGAGATGAATATCTGACTTTGTCCCATTTTCTCATTCCATTTTCACAAGAGTAAGATTCCCAAATTATAAACTTGTGATGCAAAAATTTGGGCAAGTAGCTTAGATTTGCTGTGTTCCGCATCCTTTCTTGCTTCTGCTGCCCTATATAGTGAAGGATTTCATAATTACCAGTGCTGTTAAGTACACTGAGATCTGTACAGCAGTGGAGCTGTAAATGTCTGTTACAGTTGATGCATTAAAATATCTGCAATTCCTGAGTATGTACCTCATTCTAATCTTATAAGAGGTTCTGTACAAAGAGACCCTTGGATCTATGTGGAGCCCTATGGAGGCTTGTTTCTCTTCTGCCTCAGGATAACCGTAAAAAGTAGTATGCTAGCATTATGGAGATTTTTGGCCCTAAAACATATTTCCGCTTCCATACCAGTAAGTTTGGTATTTCAAATCACAATAAAATGATCGTATGCAACAGCAGTGTAAATTCTTCCTAATAGAGAATTGAAAAATAACACTTGATCTGCTTGTGTTTTTTATTTCTTTTTTCTCTTCTAGGCAGTGGGTCATCTGATTGCTGCAGTACTGAAAGAAAGTATTTCTTCAGAGAAGATCAGGCAGGCATCTGACCAGGTCTGTCATTCTTTCACTTTTGTCTCCTCTGCATCCATATGTGCTTACGTTTTTCTATGGTTTCTCATTCCCATTGTGTAATTTTAATAAATCCTAGAAGTTAAGTGAGGTAGTTAGCAATATGTGTCTGGGCGTGCAGGTAGAAACGGTAAATTTCTGGGATCAGAAGAGCAGTTCTACTTCCATCAGAAGTCTTAATGGCAGAAGTCTTAATTCTGCAGAATACCAACATCTAGCTATGCTCAGTTTAAGAGAGTTTTATTTGCATTTATTTACATTACTGCAAGTGAAGTGCCATATGGTGAGACACTGTCACTTCAGTAGGAAAGTCTTTTACATCACTTTAAAAATTTCAAAAAATACAGCGTTTCACATACCTGTGTTGGTGTTATATTTTATATTGGCTAAGTAGAGCTTATATTTCTTTAAGAGAGAGCATGGTGCAAAGGCACACTTTGCCTTTTAGTTGAGTCAGGCTTGCTTAAGTGCAGGTCTGTCTTGTTAACTGAGAGGCATATGAAATGCTGGCATTTGCAAGCGTCACAGAAACATAGGAGGGCTGTTAGTTAGGACTTGCTCCTCCATTTTTCCTCCCCAGAAGCTGGCTTGTACAGGAATGAGCAGAAAATGATTTGTGGATTTTTCCTCCCAGTCTGAAGTCTTAAAAAAACAAACAAACAAAAAACCAAACCCAAACCTGCAAAGTGCTGAGTCTTAATGTGAAGGAATATTGGAGATGTGTCTGTTCTCTAACAAAAGCTCCTCCAGCAGTCCTGATCATAATCATGTTCCCAAATGACATTCTGTTTTGAGCTACAAGCAGACTCTTCCCATTTGCTATCCCATGAAAGTATTAAACTGACATACAGCAACACCTTCTAAAATGCTAAGAAGCAGAAGATTGTGCCGCTCAGACATTACAGGCTCCCTTTTTATTCAAGAGCATTTTGCAGTGTTCAGTTGTTTAAAAATGTTACTTGTTTCTCCATTTGGAAGCTACAAAGTCAGCAAACTAATCTGTGAATGCAAATTTAGCATGAAAACAAGCAGCACTTTTGATGGATACTGCCAAACCTTTGTGCTTACTAGCAAATGCAGAGAACTGAGGACTTCATATGGTGAGTAAAGACGACTTGCCTCTGGATAGCCCTTTGTATGCCTGCCTCTAGCTGTCTGCACTACACCTTGCTGTAGCCATAGCTTGACATAGCAGTTCCTGAGTTGTCTCCAATTACATCTTGATCTTTTTAAGGAGAGTGAAATTGAGGAGAGCCTACCTGCATAGGCACAGCTGAAAAATGTTTGCCTTACCCTTTTCTCAGAGACTGCTGCCTGTACTGAGGGCATAGGCAGTAGGGGGCAGGAAAGTGGGAGCTGTCCTGGGAAAGGTCTGCCTTAGGTATAGAATCTGTGCCCCAGCTTCCTCTCTTATGCTCTCTAAGACTTCAGGAGAAGCTATTGAGCAGGTTTTTATTTAAAAGTCTGTTTGAGATGAATGAAGAGAAATCAGTGTCAGCCTCCTCATTGCTTGTGTCTCATGCTTTTGACTAGACTCCTGCTCTGAACTTGCTTTGGGAGAAGTGCTGCAGTGAGAATGTTGCCTTGCGAACAGCCTGCTCTGAGGGGTTGGTGGCGCTTGTTGCAGAGAAACATGCTGAGCTTGACTAGTTAGCAATATGTGTCTGGGCGTGCAGGTAGAAACGGTAAATTTCTGGGATCAGAAGAGCAGTTCTACTTCCATCAGAAGTCTTAATGGCAGAAGTCTTAATTCTGCAGAATACCAACATCTAGCTATGCTCAGTTTAAGAGAGTTTTATTTGCATTTATTTACATTACTGCAAGTGAAGTGCCATATGGTGACAGGTAGAAACGGTAAATTTCTGGGATCAGAAGAGCAGTTCTACTTCCATCAGAAGTCTTAATGGCAGAAGTCTTAATTCTGCAGAATACCAACATCTAGCTATGCTCAGTTTAAGAGAGTTTTATTTGCATTTATTTACATTACTGCAAGTGAAGTGCCATATGGTGAGACACTGTCACTTCAGTAGGAAAGTCTTTTACATCACTTTAAAAATTTCAAAAAATACAGCGTTTCACATACCTGTGTTGGTGTTATATTTTATATTGGCTAAGTAGAGCTTATATTTCTTTAAGAGAGAGCATGGTGCAAAGGCACACTTTGCCTTTTAGTTGAGTCAGGCTTGCTTAAGTGCAGGTCTGTCTTGTTAACTGAGAGGCATATGAAATGCTGGCATTTGCAAGCGTCACAGAAACATAGGAGGGCTGTTAGTTAGGACTTGCTCCTCCATTTTTCCTCCCCAGAAGCTGGCTTGTACAGGAATGAGCAGAAAATGATTTGTGGATTTTTCCTCCCAGTCTGAAGTCTTAAAAAAACAAACAAACAAAAAACCAAACACAAACCTGCAAAGTGCTGAGTCTTAATGTGAAGGAATATTGGAGATGTGTCTGTTCTCTAACAAAAGCTCCTCCAGCAGTCCTGATCATAATCATGTTCCCAAATGACATTCTGTTTTGAGCTACAAGCAGACTCTTCCCATTTGCTATCCCATGAAAGTATTAAACTGACATACAGCAACACCTTCTAAAATGCTAAGAAGCAGAAGATTGTGCCGCTCAGACATTACAGGCTCCCTTTTTATTCAAGAGCATTTTGCAGTGTTCAGTTGTTTAAAAATGTTACTTGTTTCTCCATTTGGAAGCTACAAAGTCAGCAAACTAATCTGTGAATGCAAATTTAGCATGAAAACAAGCAGCACTTTTGATGGATACTGCCAAACCTTTGTGCTTACTAGCAAATGCAGAGAACTGAGGACTTCATATGGTGAGTAAAGACGACTTGCCTCTGGATAGCCCTTTGTATGCCTGCCTCTAGCTGTCTGCACTACACCTTGCTGTAGCCATAGCTTGACATAGCAGTTCCTGAGTTGTCTCCAATTACATCTTGATCTTTTTAAGGAGAGTGAAATTGAGGAGAGCCTACCTGCATAGGCACAGCTGAAAAATGTTTGCCTTACCCTTTTCTCAGAGACTCCTGCCTGTACTGAGGGCATAGGCAGTAGGGGGCAGGAAAGTGGGAGCTGTCCTGGGAAAGGTCTGCCTTAGGTATAGAATCTGTGCCCCAGCTTCCTCTCTTATGCTCTCTAAGACTTCAGGAGAAGCTATTGAGCAGGTTTTTATTTAAAAGTCTGTTTGAGATGAATGAAGAGAAATCAGTGTCAGCCTCCTCATTGCTTGTGTCTCATGCTTTTGACTAGACTCCTGCTCTGAACTTGCTTTGGGAGAAGTGCTGCAGTGAGAATGTTGCCTTGCGAACAGCCTGCTCTGAGGGGTTGGTGGCGCTTGTTGCAGAGAAACATGCTGAGCTTGACTATGTTCTTCATGGAGCTCTCAACCTGATTCCTTCAGCAAGGTAGTGTTTGGTTGCCTGATTTTGTCTTTTGTCAGCTGGTTATCAGACATTGCTTTTCCCTTGTAAATACAGGGGAAGAGAAGAGGTTCTGTAAATGACAGTATCTTCAAATAAGTTGTGTCATTAAGGACTGGCATTGCCCTGCCAGTCTGCTGAAGGCTGTTGCTTTCATCTTGGCAGTGTGACACTGTGGGTCTCTGACTTAAGAACTCACAGAGTATCCTATGCATGTAAGCTGAAATTGTTAGCAGTTCAGACTAATGCTCTGAACTTTGAACTGTGGAACCTCAGAAATCAATGCTCTGCCTAGCTTTGTTGCCTCTATCATGGGGAAGGGGGAAGAAAATGGCAGCAACTTCCATTATGAGGAAGGGAAATAGCTTCCTAATCAGTCTGTCCAAATAACTAGTTCCTCAATTAGAGTCGCCACAACACTGTGGGTAGGGATTAGGAATGCTGGGTTTTGTTTCCTTGTCTGCTGAGGAAGAAATCACTTTACCTAACTCTGCAGCTACTCCTCTTACAAAATTCTGCAAATATAATGCCTACATTTCACAATAGTGTTCTGAGCTAGACTGCCTGTGCAACATACTAAGAAAATACAGTTGTGGGGTGAAAAAGACACTGTGCATAAAACTTATAAATGGGAGGCCAAATGATGATTGGGAAGATGTTTCCATTCAAATCTACCAACCTCGTAAAGTTCCTTGGGTATCTTTCTCTCTTCTGATTTTTGGCAGCTAACTGGATTTCTGCATTAAGCTTTCTCATTCCCTTCCTAGAGAATGCTAGAGTTGTTTTTAGCCAAGCCAGCTAATTGGTGCTACACTTGTGATGTATTATGCTGGTGGGCTCATCATAGAGGTTGCAAGAACCACGCTATTCAGGACATGGTTTTTTACCCCTTCTAACCTTCACATAATTGGTTTTAGGCTGAGGTTTTTCATGGCCAAAGGTGAGTTTAGGTTTGAGTAAACTAGAGAAATGCTTAAGAAATCAGATATTTTAAAAAAGACTGTTCCTATCCTTGTGACTTGCTTGTTTACAGCTAGGATCTTGCTGTGATGATGCTGATTCTATGCTAAGTTTACAATAAGTGGTTATGGATCCCTAGGAAATGTTTTGTAAATATATTTTTATAATATGAATAATTTCTGCAAACCACTGTCCTCCAAATGACAAAATTTTACTAGTTCAGTTTGGGGTTAAGGAAATAATCTGCATTGTTAATAAAGTAGCAAAAGCACCTGTGCTTAGACTATGAGAACCTGATTCCTGTGGGGTAAGGTGGAGGGAAAGTTTTACTAGCTGTGGCTTGCTGACTAAGAAATGTGAAATGCCTGTTCAGCTAAGGGTTTGTTACAATATCAGCAGTTTATAAGGAAATGAAATGTTAATACAAATTCGTACTTCAGAAAATAAAAAGTGTAAAATAGGATATTTAGGATTGAGTTAACTTTAAAAACAAAATCAGAGTTACGTATTGAAAGGGCTTGGATTTACCCCATTTCTACACCATTCTTAGCATTTTCCATGTGTGAAACAGACACACGTGACTGATTGCTATAGTAAGTGCTGGCAAATTACTCAGGAACCTTTTATGTATTTTTGGCAGCTTCCCCCCGACATCCCCCCTTCCCCCCCAAGCTGCCACGATTCAAACCACATCCACTATGGATTGCAAAACAGGGTTTATATAGCCTAACCACACAAGTCTGTGGGTTTACAATGTGTGTAGCCTCAGAAGCTGATTAAACTAAACTTCAGATTGGTTCATTTCAGTGCTGATACTTTTTTTTCCCTTGACTCTTTTAGAATTGTAGCCTGCTGTTTGTCATCCTGCTCCCTGCCAAATTTTCTTCCAGGTTTGCTCTGTGGCTTTGCACTGCTTTGTGCACAGTGTCTCTAAAATAAAGTGAATATGAAATTAGCAGCCAGTGGCAGCCAGCAGAAAGGCACTTGCAACTGCTGAGCACCTTTCAGTGCTGAATGGAGTTAGGTGAATGTTTTATTGGCAAAGACTGCTCATGTTGTGTTCTTGCTTCTGTTCTTTCTGTTATGATGAATTTAGCAGGGGCTTAGTGCACCTGGTGGGTTTTAGTTTGTCAGGTGTATCAAATTCTGCATACTAGGAAGGACATTTTGTGTTGTCAGAGGTGAACATCCAGTGCTTATCTGAGTTGACTTGTTACATGGTTCACACTATCTGCTCGTTATACAAATGGGCATCTATTCTTACCTCTCTGGTGCATCATTGTACCATAACTGTCTCTTATACCCAGTGTTCAGTTTTCTCTGATGCCCAAGAGTTTAAACTTCATGGAGCATCATATTTGTGTGTGTTTGTGTGTGTATGCATATATACAAAATATGTACACATGTGTAAATATATACATGTGCATTTTTACACATTTTTAACATTGGTCTCCAGCTTTCTGTGTAGAAGATGGTGGGAAAACTCTATGGTCTGTATTTGATAATGAATGAGCACAAATAAAGTCAGTCTATTAAAAACCTGTGAAACAATGGATTATTGTAATCTTTAAGAAATTGTCAGAAGGGTTTCTGTGTGTATGTATGTTTTCAGAATGTTTTTATCACCTGAGCATCCATGCCTGTAGGAGGTGGGGAAATCCGTGCAATATGTCATGCCATTGTGCTGCTTGTGTTCAGGAGCTGAGTGCAAAGCCTAAAGCAGCCATTTTACCCCCACGTCCTGCCTGGGAATTAGGACCAGCAATACAGGAGTTTGAGAACAGGGAAGCCTGTTTTCTTACTGAGTGTTGTATGGTTTATTTTTCTCCTCGCTGCATAGTTACCCAGTTGAAGCTGGTGAATATGCTAGCATATTATCCAGCTTCAACTGACTCTTTCTAGCAATGAAGTATCTAAAAGGTGGTTGTTCTCACCCCCCCCCATCCAAAAGGCTTCTTCCTCCTCTGTGTGTTAGGTTGACTGCAATGGGATCTGGAAGCCTGCTACACACCTTCCTGTTGGTTGCTTTGCAGCAGAGTTCTGTCAAACCTCATGTTTTCTTGTATAGTCAGATTTCAGTGTTTCGAGAGCCAGGTGTCACGACAGCCAGTAATTTTAAAGATTACAGGCATATCTTATAACTGGTCTGTTTTTGGAAGAAAGAAAGAAAACAAAGCATATTCTGTCAGTTTTGATCTGGGTCAGTGTTTTCCAGCACTGTTGGCAAAAGTATGAAAGCCACAGAAGAGAGAATATACTACTTTGCCTGTACCTGGAATATGAAGCTAAGCATTTCATGGTGGGGAGATCCACTGTGGGAATATCTGGATGTTCCCTGGTATGCCATATCAGCTTATGGCAAAGAGTTTGTCTGCAGGTAGTGATAAGCATAGTAAAGGTCTGGCAGTTAAAAGTGGCATTTGTCTGTGTGTTCCCATTTTCTTTTATGTGAGGGTTTTTTAGGTTATGATTCTATAATCATATGATCTTTGCCTTTGCAATTTTTGAATCTTCAGTAAAGTGTAAATATCAAGTCATGATATTTCTTTGTGATTACATGTTATTACCACACATTGTTGGTCCAGCCTGTGTGTGTAAACGCCCATCTTTTGACAGTGTTCATGTGAAGTCTCCCTGTTCTTTGATAGAAATTGCTTAAATTTGTTCAGATTTTTTTGATATAGCTTAAAAGTCTAAATGTATGTATATCTCTTCATAATTTAGGAAGACGTTTGGGGAGCATACTGCACTCTATGCCAAACAGTTAATATTACTGTATCTCAGTTTGCTCATGTGTTAAATGAGGATGATGATTTGTTTGTCCTATGAGAGGGTTACCTAAATTCTGCATAATTTCTTGTTTCCAGCTCACCATCTGTGAGGAGTTCCTGCAGTTTTCTATTCACTGATAGAGAAGTAGAATTACAGATAAAATATATTTCTCAGATTTTTTTTTTTTTCCTGCTAGGAAAGAAAGAAAGGGGAACAGTAAAAAAGAAAAACCAAAAAAACCCCAAACCCAGCACCCAATTCTCTTTATCCTCCCTTATTTTGCCCTGTGTGATAGAAGTAACTTTTTGTCAGGTGACAATCTCTTATAATTATATATTGTGTTAGCTCTTCCTGTTCATTATGTGAATAAAGTGAGGAGTAATCATGGTTTATTAGCATCAGTAGTAAACTATCTAATAGATTTTTAGGGGATGATGATGCAGTTGTATAGCATGTTCTAGATGAAAAGTCGAAGAATCAACCATGACTTTTTTTCCTCTGCTTTATACACTTTTCACCTTGTGAAAGAGCGTTTCATTATCGAATACAGTCTATTTTCTTGAGAAGGGATTGGGTTGGATCTGGCATGGTCTAGTTGGAAAGGTGTGGAAAGCACTTAATTATGAAAAGGAGAGCAAAATTTTCAAAGTTGTCCTTGTAAGATCAGCCAAGCAGTAATAAGCTCCAGACTTCTTGAGCTCTTTACTGCATGGTCACAGAGCTTTTTTTCCCCCTTGTGGTGGACTTTGTTAATTTCATTAGTGTCCCTCCAGGAGAATATGGGAAATTCCAGAAATACTGTTGTTTCTTGAATTTTCCTGGATGGTAAATTAAACAACATAGGAGGAGGGAGATAAAATAGCTGTATGTATCTATTTTATGTAGTCCTTGGCTCCTGAGATCAAAAGTCAGCACAAACTAGATGTCTCAAATGTCTTTTCTGACAATGTGATTTCTCTTGCTAAACAGTGGCACGGTTGAAATTTGTGTACCATGCTGGATGTTTACCTATATACTTGCATTTGGAGAAGAGCTAGTTTTCCATTTTTAACATATTAAAAGCACCAGTTTCAGTTAAACTGAGGACAGCAAATGTACTTGTAAGATATGGTAGAAGCAAACCATCAAAAGTTTTAATTGATGCATTAATTATTCTCTCTGCTGTTTTGCTCATTATGTGAAAAGGAAAACAAAGAAACATGGATGCACAACTTGCCCAAAATTGTGTAGGCAGATGCGAGGAGGATATTAAGGAGAACTCAGGGCTTCCTGAGTGTCAGTTTTGTTCCTGGGTTCCTCCTCTTATGGAGGAATAAACTAATGTAACTACATACGTGACAGTAATGTATTTCTTTTTGTCAACAGGAATGTGCATGGTTTAGTAAAAACTATTTGGAAATTACTACAAATTCAAGCTATTCAACTGGGAAAAGATGGAGATGAGACTGTTCAGAATTTGTATGGAATCAGGTTAGTTTCACATCGGTTTTATTTAGATACCATAATAACTTTTTGTCTGATTTCTAGAAAAAACATAGATTGTGTTGATACTGGCTTTCAGTCTGTCTTTTTTTTTTTTTTTGACTGTGCAGGTAATCAAGCACTGGCACAGGTTGCCCACAGAGGTTCTGGCATCTCCATCTTTGGAGGTATCAAAACCTGACTGCATGTGATCCTGGGCAGCCTTCACTAGCTGACTCTGCTTGAGCACATGGGTTGGACTAGATGATTTGAGGAGGTCCCTTCCAACCTAAATGATTCTCTGATTCTGTGATTTTTTTTTTTTTTTTTGGTTGAAAGTTTTAAGGAGTTCTGTAGTACAAGGATAAGATTGCCACCATAAGCTCAAAAGGGGCAACGGCAACATGAAGGCTGTGTGCAAGAAAGAACAAATAAATACTGGGATTTGTTCAAATACAGTAGCTGGATGATTGCTAATAGTCCTTTTAATAAGTCTTTTATTTTAAGACTGTGGACCACTTCCCTCTCACTTGTTTTTCCTGCTCTATTCTTGTTATCAAAGTAAGGTACCTGAATGCTTTTACTGTTAAAGTGGTTACTATGTAAAAATAAATCTTCTGAAGGTGCATCCAGAGCCACTCATATAAAGCTGTTTGTCATGCAATAGCAGCCTTCCTAAGGGGACATCTTGGTGATTTCATCCAGCTCTTGAGAAACCATGTGTCAGTACTGACATTAACAGCTGCTAATCTTTTTTGGAGAAGGTCTCAGCTTGGTAGATGTCATGAACATTTTTCAAGTTGCTGTTTATGCAGTTAAGAGGTATCATTGTAGCAGGCTGTAGCTATAATGCTTTAAGGATACAAAAGGTACTATTTGGAAGACAGGAATCACGTCTTTACTTGAGCAGAATGAAATAGTGAAGAAAAGTGAAACAGACTTTGGAGTGCTGGATGCACTGATTTCAGGATTCCTGAAATCCTGTGTGCCTCTGTTTTTCTAGCTATGTCAGTTCTTTCTACAAAGTCCACACTCTTATAGAACAGTTTTAATTGAAAAGGCAGGTAATGAGGGGTAGTCAGACAGAACTTTTCTGGAAACTTTCTCTTTAGTAGTAAATAAACTTATTTAAAGTCTCCTGATAGAAGAGGTTAAGTTAAAGCAACTTAATTCAAGCTCCGTGTAAAAGAGAGGGTAGTAGGATGTGGCTGGAATAAAGAAGTAGCCTCTCCCCAGTAGGGTGAAGAAAGATTATTACTTCCCCATCCACCCCCCCCCC